CCTGCTGGAGGGTCTGGAAGGAGTCAGAGACGTGGCCTGGCGGGGCAGGGCGAAAGGCAGAGGGCCTCTCCTGCAGTTGAGGAATAACCAGCCAAGGTCCACCGGGCCCAGCACTGAGCAAAACAGGCACAGTTTGTAGAGGACCTTGTGGCACTGCTTCTGAACGCCCCAGGGGCTTGGGAGCCAGCAACGGCACATTTCTCGCCTCATCCTCCGAGGGTCAACTCAGGGGGAATAGGACCTGCTTCCTAGCAATGGAGCATGTGGTCCCCACGCTGGAGCTCCACGGCAGATCGAGAAGCTCAGGACTGAGCAGCGGTGCCCTGCAGGACAGTGTTGGCAGGGGCCCGACGACCTGGCCCGGGGCCAGCGCAGCTGGGTCACAGTCAGGCTGGGCGTCGGTCTACACTGCAGCACCTGAGTTCTTTGAATCCACGTGGTGAGAGCAGCGACTCCCAGATGCCGTCTCGTGCTTAGCCTAGACCTCCTATTTCTATTCTTTTATGATCTCCAAGAAGTGTACTGACCTCACTCTAAATATACTGTCCGATTTTGTCATCCTAACTTCTCCCTGGGACTTGGGGGCTACTGGCCACACCAAGCCTGTTGAAAGTCTTGTGTAAATGAACCAGTGATCATTTTTAAGTGGCATGTGAGCGGCCCCCAGTTGTGCTAAAGCCTAGTCTGTGTCTTCACAGTGCTTTCGAAGGTGTGTATGTGTGAATAAATGTATGATATATATTTATACATGCTGCTACAGCGATACGTTAAAGGCCAACATAACTGGTGGACAGGGTCAGTGAGAGGAAATGAAACAATCTTTTCGGTGGCTATTAAAGCAAAATGTGTGTAAAGAAATAAGTTTTTCTTCCCCTACTTTGTCTCTAATTTCTGCACGAGTCCCTAGGCTGAGTGGGGAAGAATAGGAAAGACAAACTGTCACGAAGAGCTCAGCTCACTGTCTAATGCTTGAAGTCTAAGTTTAAAAGAATGATTTACCCTCCTGTCATTTTGTAACAATCCCCTTATCTAAAAATATTAAAGGGCAGTTCTTACATTTAGAGTGCCTCAGAATCAGCTGTGGAGATTACAGAACCTCCTTCCTGGGCTCCAATCCCCGGAGGTTTCGTTGGTGTGAGGCCCTAGAGCCTGCAGTTTTTCACGTAAACACAGACCACACGTTTCTGATGCGGGTGGGCTGCGGATCCCAGTCGAAAACCTATTGTTCTATAACACTGATTCAAACCTATAAATAAGCTTGTTTTCCTTTAATTAAGAATCCTTAATTGAAAAGTGGGCAAGTCACACCACAAATTAACATAAAGATCTCAAAGCGTTCCTTGGGAAAAGTCCTTAGTTACGTTCTTTTGCTTTCCAGAATTAAAACCAAGCACTTGCTCCACAATTATTTCCTAGTAACAGTTGAGAAATTAAAACGAACGACAACATGAACAAAAAACTCACGGACTTCCCTGGCGGTCCAGTGTTTAGACTGTGAGCTTCCACTGCAGGGGGCAGGGGTTCGATCCGTGGTCGGGGAACTAAGGTCCCGCAGGCCCCGCCGGCGTGGCCAAAAATATAAATAAATAAAGATAAAAAATAAAATAAAAAATAAAACAACTCAAACATTGTCACCACCACCGCCACCAATTACCAAAAGACTCAGGCCTGAGGTAGACACATGCCCCACTTCCGCAGTAGATGAAGTGACCTCGACTTCTGCCTTTACGCTTGGTTAAGTATTTTCCATGAGTGCCTTTGGCTGTCACTACAGAGGAACTCACTGGCAGAATCAGCAAGAATGGATGAAAAGTCAGCCGAACTATGAAGTCTTACTTAAAGATAAAGCAGTAAAATTTGAGGACCTCTTGCCCTGTGGTGATGCAAGCATCCCAGCAATTCTTCCTTCCTCCCGGTGCTGCCAGGGCTGGAAGGCATTGATGGTGTAATCTGTAGTCAGTGGAGAACTCAAATAATGCTTTTAAGAACTTCATTTTATGGACGTTAACATTTATGAAAACAACAGCATATGCATCGTGTAAATAAATCTCAGACCTGGTCAGGATTGAAACCGTGTACGAGGCCCCGTGCCCTTGTCTTTTGAAGTAAAGTGCTGATTCAAGAGTTAATGATTCGGGAATGTGAAGGCGTAGAAACAAAGAACAGCTGTTGGGCTGGGGAACGGGCAGCAATGTAGACTATAAATCCGCCGCACGGCAGAATCACCGAACTCCCAGCTCACTGAAGCTACAGATAAAGGCCTGACACACACTCCTAAGTGGTTTTACAGGGAGCAGGCCCCCTCCAGATGGAAAGTGCTGCCCACAAGCACATAGACCCTGGACTGGTTGAAACCAGAAGGTTGATGACGCTTGAAACTTCACTTTGATGCCAGCCAATCCGAGAACTGTCTGCGAGCTGATCACGCCCTGCTCCTCGAACACTGTAAGGCTCCTCACTACGCCCTCCAGGGTGGGTCACACAGTCTTGAGGGCATTAGCCCGCTGTGGCCCCCTCTGCCTGGCAAAGCAATAAAAGCTACTCTTTTCTACTTCACCCAAAACTCTGTCTCCGCATTTCTCTTCGGCACCGGTGAACAGAGGCCAAGTTTCGGCAACAGGATCCAGTCACAAATTACTCTGGGGGAAAATTCCTAAAAGCCATTCTTGTGTTTCACCCTTTGAAAAGTAGCTCTTCACCCTAAAAAAAAAAAAAAAAATGGTTGCAAAAAATGAATCTTTGGGATGGAGGATTCTACGGTATTTAACTTTCCATAAATTATATTCTTTCCCTCTACGTGTTAGAACCCATTCTTAAAAGCAAATGAAATCAACCTGTGTCACCACCACTGTCTTCCAATTTGCTGTAATTCCAGTGAGAACCATGTTGGGTACACCTGTGCAGGAAATAGGGCGAGAGTTCTTTAGGGAAAAAACGGAAAGGAAAAAAGATACCTAATGTAATGCTTTAAACATGTACCAGTATCTCTTGACCTGTCAACCTAGGACAGACAGACGACCTGCAGATTTATATAGGGTTCATTATGTCCCCCATCTTATTACTGCTAAGGTGAATGTGCTAGACACTTATTGAATCGGTGTTCTATGTCTGCTGTAATAAGTGACCATGAGTTTAGTGGCTTAAAAGAACACACATTTATTATATTACAGTTCTGTAGGTTAGGAGTCCAACAAAGGTCTCACTGGACTAAAATCAAGGGGTCAATAGGGCTGCCTTACCTTCTGGAGGCTCTAGGGGATAATCTGTTTCCTTATCTTTTCTAGAGATTTTTCTAGAGATCTTTTTCAGAGATTCTCTGAGCTATTACTATCCCTGGAATAAAGCATATTTCAGATGAAATGAGCCAGAGTTTATTTCTGATGGCTGCAGAGACAGAAAGGAGGGGAAAGGGGAAAAGCAGGGGGAGGAAAGGAAGCTTCTTCCTGGAAGTTAGCTGGGTGCTGAGTTCCTTTGTTGTCGGCTCCAAGATTCTCCGGAAGAGTCAGCGTCCCCCTTGAGCCAAAGGCACCCTCAAGGATCAAGTCACTCCGCTCCTTGCTCTCTGGTCTGAAAACACAGGTTGGCTGCCTTCTTCAGCCTCCCCTCGCCCCGCCCTCAGGTCTAGCCCAGTCTCACCCAGGTGGAGAAAACAAACGAAAAAACCAACCTCGCTCTTCAAGCAAACAGGTCATCTTCCTATCCCTTATTCTGGTCATCAGCTTCTTTTTCAGAATCGTCATTTCTTGTATTCTGTATGGTGAGGAAAGGAAAAACATGGTCCCTGGTATACCACGAGATTGAAGTAGGAAGGACGTGCACAGAAAATACACCGAGTAGCACTCTGAGATGTAACCCTGAATCTACATGTCTACACACAAGACACATACATAAATATATACTTGTATCCATTGTTTTACAACTTCTTTATTTCTTAAAAACATTTTGGATCAGCATAACACACGATCCCAGAATTCCTTTCCCCGGCGTGTAACGCAGGACAAAAGGTAAGAATTCGAGGCGGCTGGCAAAATCCGCCGGTATCTCAGATAAAGAGTAAGAGGCGTGTTACCTCGGCTTGGTGGGCTCCCGAAGTGGGCGGGCATGGTGACGTCACTTCCCCCTTCAGCAGCCGGCCCGCCCATTGGTCATCTCGGCAGGGCGGGGACAGGGCAGGGGTTGGAGGAGAGGAGCCGCCTTAGAGGTCAGGAATGGGGCTTGGCTTATGTAAATCTTGCAGCGTAGGGGTACAATTCCCGGCGAGCCACTTCCCGGGCTGTGGAAGTTTTCGCGAGAAGTTGCTCGGATTTTATTAGCAGAGTCGTTTGGAGGGGCTGAGAGGCGTGGAAGAGGAGGGGGTGCGGAGGGTGGGTGGGGAGCGTGTGTGTACAGTGTAGGCGTCTAAGGCTGTACGGGGGGGCGGGCAAAGCGATTCATACTTACCTGGCAGGGGAGATACCATGATCATGAAGGTGGTTTTCCCAGGGTGAGGCTCATTCATTGCACTGCGAGTGTGCTGACCCCTGCGATTTCCCCAAATAGGGGAAACTCGACTGCGTAATTTGTGGTAGTGGGGGACTGCGTGCGCGCTCTCCCCTGGCAACCAGTGTGCTAACGATAGAATGAGGCAACGGCACTAATGGGGCCCCGTACCTCTGCAGATAACTCGGTGAAGAGGGTGTGTTGCTACCGTTTGTCGCGCGCCGTTTTCTCCTGTTTTTTTTTTTTTTTTTTTTTTTTTTTTCTCTTTTTTTGCTGTGGTTGTGGATCCTTCGGCGTGCGGGTGCCGGAGCACCGCCGCGGTGGTGGCTACGAAAGGGTGCGCGATAGCCGAGGTTTTTTTGTTTGTTTTCCTTTTGGGGGAGAGCTGAGTGTTAGCTCTCCGCGCAAGCGCAGAGAGTTTGCGTTAGTACTTATGAGTTCGACTTCAGCTGGTCTGTGCCTTGCAAGACGCTGAGCGGGTCGGTAGTTTGACTCTCCTGCCTTGTACTTTGAAACGGGAGTGCTACGCCCCGCCGCACGCAGGCACGGGAACGGCATCTGCGCTTTTGCTTCAAACAACAGTAATAGTACCAGCGGGGGAACGTGCAAAAGAAAGTTTTCCCGAAGACCGGCCGTCGAGGGCTCCTCGCTGATGCCGTGGATAAGGGATCCGCTTGCCAATGCACGGAACACGGGTTCGAGTTCTGGTCGGCGGCGAACACCCCACGCGCTACACACAGGGCAAGTGAGCTCTCGTGCGGTAACTGCTCAAGCCTGCGTGCCAGGAGCCCGCGCTCACGATCTTCGCAGTGAGGGAGAAGCCCGGCCGCGGCAGCGGCCCCACAACGCAGTTTATTCAAACAAACACACTAAAACGGCGGGCAGACGGGCCCATCTAATGAAAGAGGGCAGGGAGCGGTCCCTGCGGGAGGGGAAGCAATGCCTCCACTTTTTACTGCCTGGAGAGTTTCCCCAGCAAAGCACACGAGGACGAATCCGGTGTGGACCTGCTTACGCTGAGAGCCGAGCTGTGAGTCCAGCGAGGCCGAACGAGCTGCTGCCCGCAGGACAGATCTTCCCAGAGAGGGGAGAGATGCTAGAACTAATTTAGCGAGGAAGACAGCAGGGTCCCCCGCCACCGTGCAGCACAGTCCTGATCCGTGCAGCTCTCGGAGGAAACTCCCCGAGGTCGGCGGAAATTTTTGACAGGACCAAGGCTCGCACAGATAGTGCTCCTCCTCCCAAGCGGACAGACTAGAAGGAAACAAACAAACGACCGCAACCAGAAAACATCGTAGTTCAGGAGGGCAGGGGGTAGAGTACTCAGGAGGAATGTCTTGCGGCAGTAGCGGGAGCTCGTTAGCCCCAGACTGAGCGCTGCTCGGAACCACTTCGCAAATCATAGAAGCAAGACCGGAAACGATCAAACAGTTTGCAAGTAACTTAAATGCGTCCATGAACAAAGTTCAGCGTTTCCAGGAACACACAGCTCTCCAGCAAGGCACCCTTCACAAACGCCTGGCATTCCATCACAGATCCTGAGGTACCCAAAGAGCCAGGGGAAATGACCCTTCTCCATAATGCAGAGACACCTCGGTCATTTGCAAGTGACCCAGAGCTGACACCGATGTTAAAATCACCAGAGGAGGACATTAAAACATTTATTCCAAGTGTATTCCGTAGCTTCAAACAGTTAAATGTACACACACACGGGGCACATTTTAAAAAGACCCGCTCTAACGTAAAGTGAAAACTACACTGTCTGAAAGGAAATGTACTGCAAGGGATTAAGAGCGAGCAGTTCGAAAACGCAGAAGAAAGAATTTTGAATAGGAATTGCGTTGACTCTGCCTTGATTGCAGATCACTTTCAGTAGAAAGCGACAGTCCCAAATGAAAGGGCTGAGGCGTCCTGAGATGGGGCGGTGAATACTCCGCGCAGGTGGTGCCATGGAGCTTGATTTATGACGTCGCAGCTCGAGTAAGGGATGGCCGCCACCCGTGTGCGTGTGCCTTCATCCTCTGGCAGGTGTCCTGGAACGTACAAGACACATCACTTAGTGAGGGCAGCCCTCCAGGTGGTGCAAAGAGACCACGGGCACCAGGTAAAAACCGGGAGCAGGCGGAGATTCCGGGAGAGGGGCGCTGGGGAGGAACTGAAACGGCAGGCGCATAAAAGCGACAGCTGAGACCTCGCTCATCAGATTCTAAGCCAAGTCCGTCCCTGGGTGGGCTCGAACCACCAACCTTTCGGTTAACAGCCGAACGCGCTAACCGATTGCGCCACAGAGACGAGCGGCGGCGAGGTATTCTTGTAACATCCTGGAATCAGAATGTATTCCCCGTCCCTTCCAACCCCAGCGGAAAAGAGATTCAAATGTCTTTATCTTATCCAACCTCGCCGGCGCTCTCAGAGACACTGAGTCTCGTGGACCGTGGACACCGAGCCCGAGTGAGCTGGGGGCTCCGACGGAACAACGCCGGGCCCACGACCATCCATCCTCGCCTGCTCCTGGCCGCCTCGAAAGCGGCCCCTCTACACGAGACGACTGCCGCCTGTCTCGGGCTCAAGTCCTCCATTTCCCACTCGTGATCGGCCTCACCCGTCGCGCTCACCGCAAGTCCCCCTCCAGGTCCGGGTGGTCGTACGGGGGAAGGACAGCAACCGGCTGTGTCCCCACCGTTCTGCCCCCTCTGGGCGCCTCCAGAGAAGGGCTCCACGAGGCACGACCCGGAGTTTGCTCACCAGGCAGCCCCTCGCCCGGAGCAGGGCCTGGCATCCAGCAGGCGCCCAATACATGCCCGCCGCCGGGGCCCGCGGTGGTGGGTAGACCGAGAATTCTTATGCCACCTGTGTTTAGTCCTGGAGGAACCTAGACTTTTCAGATCGTCTGTTCTTCAAAACCTTTCTTCTAGCAGCTGATTTAGAACCAGATAAAAGTCCTGGAAAGGCCAGGAGGGCACCACCCCGTCCGGCTCTCAACTCCCCACCCAAGGCGGTGCTGCGGCCTCAGCCTGCGGGCGCAGG